AAGGGAAAGGGTTCAAGGAGAGAGGAGTCAGAAGGAAGAGGGTTTAGAATATAAAAAAACTTTATTCATCCCCTGGGTGCAATTTAATTAGCATAGAGTAGTCGAATCAACTAATAAATCATTTAAGGAGCAGGTGGGTTGAACATAAATAAGCTCAGTGTCATGTCCGTGATGTGAGGAGGGATCACAAGCAGGATGAGCATCAACTTTGGTTTGTCAGATGGTGACTGAGGTCAGAGGTCAGATTCCGGTTTGCTCCTTCTGGTCTCAAAGAGCGTAAAGAATTTCTTCCTCAGTGATTTTCTTTTGTTTGTTTTTGTGTGTGCCTCCTCTAGCTGGTGTTTTAAACTGACAACCTTGTCCAGATTGTTGTCTCTCCTTCACCTTCTCCTCCACGGCCTCCTTCAGAGAAGCTAGAGATTTTAGCAGGCAGGACTTTTCTTCCTTTCACTGCCGTTGTTCATTGTCCAGGTCCTTCTGCACCTTCAGGTTTAATGTTGTCTGGAGATGTTCATCCAGGAGATGGGGCCTGTCCTCCTCCTACTGGCATCTTTGCTCCTTCAGTTGTTGTTGCACATCATCCAGTACCGTTTTTACTGTGGAGTTGTGTTGCTAGACATATCTCCTCATTTTTTTCCTTCTTTGTTTCATAAATATAAGATCCACGTTCAAATCAGCCATCTGTCGCGTGGCTTTGGATTTTTGAGCTCCGAGCAAATTTTTCTCACTGTCACGCTTAGCAAGGCAGCCTCGTCTTGCTCCAGTGTGAAAATCAGTTTGTCCTTATCATCTAAGATCGTCTGAAACTTTAGCTCAGAGATCTGAAGTGTTCCAGTTTGTACGGCAGCCTGCAGTTTCTCAGCTGGCTCGGCTTAGCTTTGCTTCACAGGCTGCAGTCGACTATTTGGAGCTGCAGCTTGTTCAGTTGGAGCAGGAACCTCATGAGCTGAGGTGCAGGGATCACTGCAGGCTGTGGCTTGTTCACCACAGCTCATCCAAGAATGATTTTAAGAGGTTTTCTCTTTCTTGAAACCTGTTTTCGTTTTTCTTCATCTGACCTCTCTGGAGTGCAGAAACATCTGAGTTGTCCAGGTTCAGGCACGGGTTCAGCTCATCCACCTCCCGTAGGTTTGATGAATTTCTCCACGAGTCGAGTGGCTGAGTCATCTCCTGTTGCTTGTGGATGGCAGGCTGCGTCCGCCACTTCAGTTCAGGCTTACAGATCTTTCTTTCTTGACAGATTCAACAGTCTGCTCACAGGCAGGAAGGATGGCTTTTTTCTACTCTTGTCGCCACACCAAAGACATTTGCTTGTTTCTTTTTCGTAGGCTCCATTCAAAGGGATCAAAATTATAGGATGCACACCACAGAACTACTACAAAAACACCCATGCTTGTCTGATTTGCTCCAAATTTGACACTGTGTGCCACACAGCAGAACACCTGCCACGTTGGAAGCAGATCGAATAAACACATAATTCTGGATTTCTTTGTTTTGTTCTTGTTTTGGCGTTACTGGTGATCAAAAGATAAGTGTCCAATTTGAAATTATATAAACGATATACATGGTTTAAACATCTTTTATAGTTTTGAATGCAACACTTTGTTAGTAGCATACAGTTTTGTGTTTACAGGGTTGACTAAGTGATTGTATTTATCACATCCATGCATTTATAATTTAACATTAACTCATAAAGATAGACTTTTTATTACACATTTTGCTGTAGAAAAAACTAAAAATCATTTTCATTCATCTTTGTCAAATAAAGAAGAGACTAATGGCATCAACTATTAAAGACTCTTCCCCTGTTTTGTACATTTTTAATAGACTTTGGGTACTAAAAAGCAGAGAAAATAGGGCGGTATTGGGCACAGTGTCACATTTCATGAGTTGTATACAAGTTGGTGATGCTGAAGGAGATGCAGCAGGGTTTTAGTATCAGGAGGCTAAGGTCTGTTCAGTTTAACTCCTGATCGAGCAAAACAAACCAAAAAGAGAAATATCTTCAATAACGCGTGCCATCGTGCTCCCCTGTTGCTGCCATTTTGTCCAAAACAGTCCAGAAACGGACTCCTTGAGCTCTAAATATAATGTTCTGCTTGTGTCAATGAACGAAACATATTTTCCTGATGTTTTACTAAGATATACTAGTGTTTTTTGTCCCCTATTTTTCTCTTGGCATTTATCAGGAGGTTCTATAAGGGATTTATCTGCTAATCTCTTCTCTGTCTCTTGACCAGGTATTACAACTGCGTGCCCTTTGCCGGCTGCGTGTTTGTGGGTCCCACCAAGATGTGCCAGCCCAGGGTGAAGACGTTTGAAGAGTTGCCCCTGGAGATGAATTCACAGAAAGCTCCTCAAGTAAGCTCTTGATCTTCTTATCAGTTGTCGACAATGTGAACCCAACTGGTGACATTCTATGAACAGAATTGGTCTTTGGGGATTCTTTCTTTTTTTTTTTTAGCCCCTCAAATAATTACCATACATGGTTGCTGTTGGCGGAGAAAGACGGGGGTCATTAAATTCACATGATGTCAAACTGTGTCTCTTCCCAGGATAACCAGACGGACAGCGGGATGGTTCTGGCCTCCGAAGAATTTGAGAGAATTGAGCACAACCACAGGGGTGCAGTCTTAAAAAGGTGAAATCCATATTATAGCCTGAACGTGACGTATAAGATAAATATGCAGCCAGTTATTTAGTCACAATGTTTGACATTTGGAGCGATGCGCACTTATTACTCATTGTAACAACACAAAGCCTTTCAGACGTATTAGTGCAGAATGCTTTTAAACAGCAAACATATGAGTTAATAAGAGAAAACACTCGTTCTCGCTTGGAAACTGTAGAATAGTCACTGCTTTAAGTGCAGTGAAGAAAGATTTGCAAAGGAAGTGAGCATCAGCAGTCTTGGTCTGTGCATGGGTGAGCAGGAGTCAAATCTAATGCTCATAGTCATCAAGTTTTCAGAATTACAATGTTTTAAAGAATCATCCTTAACTGAAAGTAAAAAATAATGCACATTTATCTGGCCAGTAACTCCAGCAGCAACTTCGAGGAGCAGATCCTGAGTGGGTAAAGATGGATATAAACTACCTGCCGTGTTCACGTTGGTGTAGTGTATTGCTCATTATTCCTAGTCATACACTGTGCAGTCATACAAAACAAAAATGTGTCCTAGAAGCTGTGTACAAACGATTTAAAAGTCTAATCGGTTAAATAAGTCCGTCTGCAAATTAGTCTGACTCTCTTTTTACTGTTCTGTCTGCGGTCACAATCCCAATGGCACCTTCACAAGAGGCGAGTCTTTAAATGTGCCTTAATATTTTTTAAAACGCTAAATGATTGGGCACCATAGATTTTAGCACAGTTACTCATACAGAGAGTGTAAGTGGAAACTATTTTCAGCTGTGGATTTGGCACTCTGGCTTGCATTTATAGCAGCAGGGCGGTGTATGTGGGATTGACTTAAAAATAAACTACAGTGCCCCTGTTCAGCGTAAATAGGGAACCTGCCAATCTGTGCAGCAGGTTGGATCGCTGATGTGTTTTTAATAGCTTTTGCACAATGACGGTCTATGTTACAGAGCAATAAACAACTATTTTCATTTTCAAGTTATGGGTTCAGGGCTTAAAGATGGAGGCACTCTGGCTCACACTCATTTACCAACACATCTACAGTTAACTGCTCACAGCTTATTGGAATATTATTATTTCCTAACAGCCTCTATCTGCCTGAGTTGTCAGTGAAAGCTGTCCCTTTTTGCTCCGTCTCCAGTCGTATAGGCAGCAGCAGCAGCACGGAGCCTCTGACAGCCTCCCACAGCTCCCCGGGCCAAAGCGGCAGCACCAGCAGCTACAGACACCGTCCCAACTTCTTCAGCCAGCTGTCAGGACAGACCTTCTACAACAACGAGTATGGACACCTGTCCGAGGAAGGCTTCTGCGACTTCTACTCCCCGCCAGACGCACCCTGCCTCACCTCCTCGAATGTGTAATTAAAGATGTAGACCAAAGAAAGTAGTCAGCTCAGGTTGAGGGAGGACTTTGTAACATCTCAGTATCTGACATGTAACCAGTCATTTACTCATGAAGATCAGGTTGTAACTTCTTTTCAACCAGAGCTGACTTCTTTTCATCTCAAAGTCCTTCCTCGCTTTTCTTGGGCTGCTGCCTCAACAAATGGACTGAGCTATATGTGCCTGACGTTCCTCTAACCAGCCACTGGGTGGCAGCATTATTACAAAAACAATCCATAAGTATTTTCTATTCATACATTTATATTTTTAGCTTTTATATACAAAGTATTCTTCCTTTATATGTGCAAGTTATGACTCATATAGGAGGAAATAAAGAAATTTATCCTATTTTTTTGCTCTTACGTCTGTAATTCATGGGAAGCTGGATGTGTAATTATTCCAGTTCAACCCTGTTTTTAAGTGCAAACCTCTGTGATGATCCATATGGGGGATCAATTAGCGAAACAAATAGATATTTGTGGTATCTGTGTCATTCAGTGGAGGTGGAGACGTTTGGATGCGCAACACCGCTAACTAGCAATAAGTGACGGAGGTAAACAGAGGGATGTAGGGCGAATAAAGGAGTGAGTCACACTAAGCACCTCTTATCAGTGCTGGACGTAAGCATGATGATAGCTGTGACAGCTTAACACCCTCTTACGCGCTCACATCACAAATGACAACCTGCAGGGTGTTGGCTCAGGCTGCCAGCTGAGGGAAATGAGCAGTGTCTGGGTGCAAAGTCCACTTCAACACACAGTTACAGTCACAACAGCTTAGTAATGCTGCAAAATCATCAACGCAAAGGGTTCCATTTTCAGTTTCTATGAATAATTGGTGATCGGGGCATTTGGTTATATTCGGTGTCGTGCGAAAAGGCTTCATGACTAGTTTGTGTACTGCACCATTTCAGTAAGTGATGCTTATCCTTATATAGACCTAGTAAATAAACCCACAACAAAGTCAGACAAAGCATACAACTGTAACCTCAATAGTACCTTTACTTGAGGAACACATAGCATTACAGAGTAATTTGAGACGGAAGAGGAAATGGATGGCCTTTAGAGTAGAAAAACAGGTTCTGGGAGTTTGGTGATTATCACTGTCCTCGATCAGAGAGGTCATGGTAACAGTATAAAAAGAGCAAAAAGAAACATCTTCACCCACAAGTTCTCTCCTTACAAAACCGAACCTTCATTACAATTTACAACTTCATGGAAACACAAATACCTTGTACATAAATCAAACTAGAAACTAACAGACCTCCACCACATTTTTTTTTTTTACAATCATGGAGACGGAATGGAAAAAGTCAGAGACGCTTAACAGTGTTGCTGAATTATTTGGTATACATAGACTGAAAACGACAATGATCGATGTGTTTAAAAGAATTCTCTAAAAGCTAAAAAAAAATCTACACAGATGCTGTAAATCCCATCATGCATGACAAACACAGTGAAAATACTGGTTTTAGCCACTGAAAGAGCCCGACAAACAAATGAGAGCTGGTAATAATCCTGCATGGTGGAGTAGTAAACAAGAAGGCAAACAGTTTGAGTACTGGAGATAAAAATGGAAGCCACACTGAAAAGACACTGTTGCATGGTACGAAACACTTTTACAGACAGTATGAGAAACAGTAACACTTCAGATTTGAGCCCAGTCTGTGCAAGATTTAAAATCCCAAACACTTTCCTTCTGAACTAATCATTGGCTTTTGCAGTTTTGAGGAAACAAACACAGTTAGACTGACATAATGGTGGCGATCGTACTTATTTGGATTCATTTACAGGCGAAATTATACATTTTTGTCTGTAAATAATCCATACGTGAATTAAAAATATTCCTACAATGTGGAAATTCTGTGTGGACACATGGTGCAAATGTTAAAAACTTTCATAACAGCACAAATATCTTTTTTTTTTTCCTTACTTCATTTTTTAAAAAATACCAGCTGCGGCCATCGAAAACATCAACCTGGCTGAATCCTGACCCACAGCTCTTTAGAATTCACCTCCACAGTAACAAAAGAGATTTCCTCTCCTCTCCTGACACTGAAGACGCAGGAAGCGGACATGTGATAGTCGGCGTTCACGCGTCATCAGAGCAGATCGGAGCCCGAGAGGATCTTCAGTAACGGAGACGCAGCCGTGTAGCCTGGTAGTTATATCGAGCCCCGGAGACTCCTGGTTGGTCACGGGGATACAATCTCCACAGGGAAAGTTGCTCCGAGCAGGATTTAGCTAACAGGCTAGCAACTTCGCACTTATAAATAAAAATGTGAGGAGGGGGCGGGAAGCAGTCCTCATGACATTTTTCCGATCTGGATCTTCTTCCAGGCCTCTGAAGCAGTAAATATACAGGAGTCGATGATTCCTGCGACTGTGAACGTCCCTCCGACGATGGCACAAATCTGCAAGGAAACATGTCAGTCTGTCAGTCTCTGCTTTGAAGAGCTTCATTGTTTTCTTCTCTTGGCACAAATTGCTCAATAAATGGCAAAATAGCCCCATTTAATCATGACAGTACATCATACTGACACCTCTTTATGTGCTGGAATCCAGCTGCAGCTTGACTCACAATCTTTAGCCATGACTCATAATCACAGTCATCTCCTACCCATGCCTTAAGTCATGATAAACCTAAACAACACTGAAGACGAATAATAGGGGAGCTCATCAGCCGGGAAGCCAATTTAATCCTGACTGCATCATCAGTCAGCAGGAAACTTTCCTGATGAGATGGAACAAGTCAAGCCAAAATTCCACAAGGTGAGGTGGGGAGTCGAGGCAAAAGGAAAGCAAAGGGGATTAACGAAGGTTTGGGAGGTGCAGCGATTAACTTTTTTTTGGGAAGACATGACATGAGAAGACCTTATACTAAAGCTACAGGTAGCAGCTAGCGACATAGCTTAGTTTAGCACAATATTGAGGAAGGAACAGCTCGGCAGGCTTTGTCCAGGCAAAGTAGGAACCCTGTGTCCCTTTTCTGACTCTAAAGAAAGAGTCTGGCTTTTAGTTGAACCTGTTTTGACTGATTTTTGGGCAATAATGCAGCAGTGCAACCACCTGTAATAGTAGCCTTTACACTTGCTATGGCTAATATGTTAGCTAACAGTTGCCATTGCACACATTTAAACACAGCAGTAGTAGCATTTCTCTCTTAGGAGAAAGGTCTGGCTGTTTATTAGATAAATGTTTCACTATACTAACTAGCAAGTTGCTAACTTTGTCTGGTAGTTGTTGTTTTTTGTGTTTTTTTAGAGGTTTTTGACTACATGTGCTACCTGCTGCTGTAAAACAGGGTAGAAAGATTGCTAAGAATGTACCACAACAGTTAAAGTGCAAAAACAGAGCTAAAAGACAACACAAGTCACATGAAATGTTAAATACACACTTCCATGGGAGTTTGCAATCGGGTTAACAAAGAAAGTTGATAGTGGCTATCAACTTTCTTTGTTTTTGATAGTCATGACAATGACTATCCATGATTCAGGTTTTAGGTTTTGTTGAACCAGCTAATAGAGAGAAAGCCTGGCTATGTAAAACTTGTTTTGTAACACACCCTTAGGCGCTGTATTTGTTATTAGTATCACATGAGCTGTTGTTAAACCTGTCAAAAGAGTTTTCTGTTCCCCATCTCTGCGTATGCCTTTCAGTATCATCAAAATGCAGAACGCTGGGAACATATTTATGTTCCCACGTCACCATGTCAACAAGCTCACAATGACATTGCAAACACAATGTTTAGAGGTTGCCATATACATTCAATGTCCATTCTTATTTTAGCATGTTAACATACCATCACTTGCTAATTAGCGGAAATGTGATGGTGATCCAACAAATAGATATTTTAGTCTGGATTGAAGTTGTTGACTGCTCACCTAGAATAAATTATCTAGTCTTAGAACCACCCAGAAGTGTTTGAAAAACCAAAACCATCATTTTTGAGACCTTGAAAGGCTTTAAATTTAAAAAAAAAAAAAGAAAAAAAGAGCTTTAATCTTGGACCTCAGGTTTTGTGATCTGTGACATCCCAGATATGAATTCACTTACTGTCGTGATGAAGCGGTAGAACGGCTGCCTCCTCTCCGTGTACTTGACTGTGATTGGACTGAGGTCATATCTGAACCAGATTGCTGGAATAATTCTGCCTGTGTGACTGTACGCAACGTATTCCTGTGTGGGAAGGGGGGAGAAAAGAAGAAAAAGAAAAAGAGAGCATTACAAATTTTAATGCGTTTTGGAGGTGCGCCTGGCAAAAAAAAAAACAAAACAAAACTAATTTAATCAAAACTGAGAAAGTTAATCCCATTAAGTTTAAAAAAGCAAACAAAGAGCAATCTGTCATTTCATCCTTATCATTAGTGGTGACAGCAGTGTTTGTGTCATTACCGAATTTGTTTCGGATAAAGTCACTCAACAAGTCATAAGTGATTCATTAAAAATGAATCTTGGCTGAATAATTCACAGATGGAGTAATCGTGAGGAGGCAACAATGGGTTGTGAGTTATTGTTGCGCGATGACATGGCTATCAGTGAGTTTATATAAATCTATTTCTGCAGAATCTGTGCTAATTCGCCAACACAATAAATTTGATGATATTAATACATTTAGCCTGACAACAAAGACTTGTTTTTGCAGGCCAGGCTTAAATGTGTGCCTTTATTTATGCTGTGGGAATGAGGTTTAGGAATATTCTTGCTCAGAACCCTCATCTTCACCGCTTCACAGCTGACCTGCACTGTTATTAAACCAAACTCCCAGCTGTCAGTCAACACAGTTCTAGGAAGTGTGTTTATGGTTTGTTGACATCGAGGGAGTGTTTCCAGTCGCTAAGGGGGGAGCTTTCACTTCCGGGTGAGTGCACAAGTTAACGCAGCAATACATGCTCCGGCCATATGTTGGGACGGTCACACTGCCATCGCGGTGAGTGCAAAAGACAACATATGACTCAAAGGTATGATCTCATGAGAAAGGAATAAAACGTGCAGGGATACATCACCTTGTTGGCTACTGTGTACTGGTAGGAGAACCTCTGTTTGCCCGATAGGTCTTCATACACTGTCGGTACAATCTTCAGGATGTAGTCATGTGAGGCCAGAGCTGCAAGGGAAACAACGTTTTATTACATATTTTAAAAAATCAGTTTTCAAAAGTAGGTTTGATCATGATACAAGTGGACGGTTCCTTTTTTCATGTGAGCTGCAGTGTCAGCTGTGTGAATCAAGTTTCCTGGATTCAAAAGCTGTGCACGAGGAGTTTCCTTTCGTTGCATCATACCATGTCAGCAAGCAGGCTTACATAAATGTCACACCGCGGTTATAATGAGTACATGTGCAGCGAGGATACATACGATTAGATGACAGCTTGTCAGCTCCTCCTAAAGCATTGAAGGCTCCTTGGACCTTTTGTACCTGTGTGACAATACAGAGAGAGAGGAGATCCTTGTTCAACTTCCGTACTGCAGAGCTCATCTTCCTCAGTTTTATTTTGTGTGTTTCTTGTCTGACCTGAAGCTTTTCCCCAAAGGCCAGCTTGTGGATGGTGTGGGTCATGTCGGGGTTTTGGGGCTGCGCTGTAGCGCTGTGTGTCGACACATGGAAGTTTCCCGGTACCTGAAGACACACAAACAAACAGCTGAACTCAGTAACACCGCAAGCACCTGCAACACATTTAGTTAACTAATGAGCGCGTTTAAATGCGCGCACACTCGGTTGGAAACTAAATGTTCCTCGCCTCCTGACTTCATGCGTTTTACATATTTCCAGCTACCCAACGAGCAAAAGTGTTAAACGTCCAACTGCTGGGTTAATCATTTTAAATGTAGTGGAAAGAGTGACGCACAAGCGGGAGGTGGGACAAAAAGAGCTTTCACAGGGCTCAGGCTCTAATGTCAGATGTAACTGAACCCCCTGAGCTCTTCCATTTAAGATAATTCAATTTAGACTAAAGGAGGAAGTCCAAGATAAATATACAACATATAGTCCAGGATTTTATGCCACATACAATATCATGCCTGTTATCCAGCCCTTCAGAATGTAACTACTGCACAAAGAAGCAAACTCTTCTCCACTTTATGAAGGTAGTAAAGGAGAATTCATATAGCAAGTACTGAATAGTCTTTGGCCTTACTTTGTTGATGGTGAACTCTCCCTCAAAGCGACAACCATCCCCCTGGTTGAGAGGAATCTTCATGGAGTTGTCTATGTGACCGACTTCATGGCGGCCCATCTCATCTTGGATGTCCAAACCCACCACTAAAAAAAAAAACAAAAGAAAAACAGACACATGGGAGACATGATGAACCAAAATATTCCACAGTTTCTGCTGCTAGTTCCAAATTTTGATTTGTTTTTGTGCCGAGACAAAGCAATCAACAAAAATATCAGACACAATTCTTTTTGTTTGTTTTAGTGACTAATCCAGCCTAAAAAGTGTAAGAAAACACAGTTATATTCCCATCATGATGTCCTCAAATTGCTTGTTTTATCTGATTAATATTTAACAGTGATGCAACAAAAAGAAAGAGTTTTTGTTTGACTGCTCATCTTATTGATCCAACATTTGCCTTTGACTTTATATGGCAATCTTTTGCTCTACTTTGGCCGGGCTCATGCGGCCCACGAAATATTGCACCAATGTTGAGGCAAACATTATTATAAACTGCAAAACCAACAATTTGAAGACATCACCGCAATCCGACAGGCACATTTCCAGATATTCTTAAATAAAAGTCAAGTTTAGACAAGATAATTGACATTGAGAATACTCATTGTTTCTTACATTCAATACCCAAACAGGCAGAAAGAGGAGATAAAAGACAGAAATTCTGAATATCGCTGCAGAGAGTGACCCACAAAGTAAACATACAAAGTCCAAACAGACCACTTATCATCCCGTCACCCCCTCTCTCGCTCTGTCTGTGTTTTTCCATCTAGACTTTAGTGACCCCCTCCTCCCCTCCTCCCCTCCTGCAGGCCGCTGTATGTTGGCACACTGGCAGTCGCCTATTTTCAGAGCCTGCCGGTGCTGTAGCCAGCAGCGGAGAGAGAGGGAGGGATGTCTGCCGGATCTGTGCTAAAACCCCCACATGCCGTCTGTCTGACCTTTGACATTCAAGACAAGTTTGAACCCCAGATCCCAAAATACCATGCGCAAATATAAGCGAAGTGCGCCAATATGTGTGTGTGTGAGGGAGAGAGACAGAAAAAGAGATGGCTTGTTTCTCCTTTTTAAGACATTTAGGCCTGGAAGTGCGTTGATATAAAGTGGATCCGAGGTGGGGAGGTGGTGGTGGTGGTGGTTATTATAAGGTTACTACACGCGGTTGTGCTTTTCCATGAAGTCACAAATCAGGACGAGGCAACCCGTAAAGGTCAGCGGAGGGAGACGATGTTTAACTCTGGAACGGCAGAGCAGATTAATAATTTGTTTTGTTTTTTTAAAAAGCGAGACGGAAATGCCAAGTTTTCCATGATGAAACGCCGTCTCCCTCCAAGTAAATTTGCAACGGATGACAACCTGTTTGGAGGGCCGGCGAGGTAGAATGATGTAAAATATTAGCTTGCAGCGAGAGGCTGCTGAGGGACGTTTCTGCTCATTACACGCAGCTGCAGTGTGGTTAAAGCGACGTGTTTGAGCTGGTATTTAAAAGGGGCCCCACGTTTCTGAAGAAAAGAAAAAAAAAAGAAATTCTGCAAATAAACAAAACCGCCGTACATACAATCATCAAGAGCTTTAATTGGAAACGGCAGAGGGACGGTCTTTGTATAGGCATGCCATGAGTGAGCTCGTCTAAACACATGGCTGACAGCTGCGTGTCTGCATGCCAGAGGCGCTGTTGCACAAATCTGGACTTAATTTTCACACAAGCATTTATTAGCTTTGCCATTTTTGGATATCTCTTGAACCGAGCGAATGTGCGAGTTTTTCTGCGCTGCCCAAACCTCGCCAATGTGTGTGTGATTTGTCATTGGGCATAGTTTCTGAGTGGAGTCATGAGGCGCAAATAACCGGTGACTGCTCTCCGTCCTGGCACGCTTCGACGGGCCCGCCCACTTTTCTGACATCTGAGTACAGTAGACGAGGCGGCAGAGGCAGCTTTATGTCAAACGCGCATCGCAGACGCGTGGCCGCACGAGATTTAAACAGAGGATGCCACAGCACAACAAATCACGACGCAGTTCACTTCTGCAAACACGCTGCGTTAAATAAGGGCACGGCAAGCATGCTAATGTCTGAAAAAGGAAAAACTGGTGGTAAAAAAAATGAGGAATTAAGCAATATAAAAGAGAAAACACACAAATACAAAGTGTAATGTAGAGAAACAGAGAGTTGTATATGTGTATATATTATGTATATACTCACAATCACAGTGCAAGTTTGGCAAACTGATGTTTAAACTCACATCTATCTTCCCACCACTGTCTTTATCAGGATCATCCACATATAGTTCATTTACACTGTAACGGATGGAAGAGAGAGGAAACAGATCAAGTTTAGAGAAACAGAAAACTTTTAATGACAGGCCAAAAAAAGACATTTCATCAGAAAAAGGCTATTTTCTCCTCTAGCAACATGTCATTTGGACGCCATTTTAACAGTCGGGGACTCATTTTCTGCCAAATTGCAAGCGATGAGCATTTGTGTATCTCTGTCAGTGTAATTTCCTTTCTGTCACACCCTGCCCAAGTCATCCCTTATTACACTTTGCCAAGAGGCTGACGCATGCACAAAGCCAATATCCTGTGAGAAAATTGACTCTATTCATTGGTTACAACACTGGCTGGGCAGAATGCACCATAATGAGGGCATTGAAATTCATTATGAAGCCCGTGCGCCTGTGTGGCAACCGAGGAGCTGTCGGTCGCCTTGTGGGTTGCGCGCTACAGGAAATTACGAGATGCTGTGATACCTACATTTCAGTGGCTATGAATCCCGTCAGCTCAGACAGGAACAGGAAGAGTATGAAGACACAGCACAGAATGGAAACTGTGGGCAAAGAGAGGAAGAGAGTCAGAGTGAACACCTTGTTTAAACTGTTGATTTTACGTGTGTCACTTCTTTCGCATTAATCTCAAATTACACCGGCTCTTCACGGAATGATGCAAAGCAAACGAGCCGGGCTAATCCAGTCTTTTTGGAATGGCTGACCTAAGCTATTGACATTAATGAAATCACAGCAGCCATAAAACTTCTTTTTTTCTTTCCCCCCCTTTAAATAGCGTTTTTACTGGCGGTGTTGAGGCCTGCCATTACGCAGGTTTTTAAAGACCCTCCTACACTAATCACACATTAAATGCCAACACACCAGGCAGCCATTACGGAAGATCTTCTTTGAGAGAGGTGATGTCATGCCTTACTAAGTCCTACAAACAGCGCATTTTAGGCTTCCTTAGACAAACTCGCACACGCTGACAATCACCAAAAATGGCTCCCTCAGAGAAGCCGAGACAGAAACCAAATTAGGAATGATTCACCTTAAATAATAAAGTGTCTTTTTGTCACTCCGAGCCAATGTAAAGTCTGAGCCTAAAAGGAGAAGCAGCCGGGGCTGTCTGTTTCATTTCATGTGTCAAACTAATCAGCCTAAGATACGAAGATAAATATGGAAGGAACTGATCTGTGTCTGCGCAACTGTGGTCTATCCGGTATGGCGAGAGCCTCGGTCAGAAAAGCTCACACTCAGCAGGTGAGGCGTGTTTACGTGGCAACCGTCTCCTAGGATCACACAATCACATGACCTCGCGGTTGGCAGGGCGCTGCGGGAAAAACCTGTGGCTGGTGGCGACTTTACATAAGGTAATGTTTAACCGACAAACAATAGGGAGTGTCGCTATGACACATCGCTTACCAGATCAGGTTCATCAAACGACATGTACAGTAATTGTTCCCTTCAAAGGGCTCAATAACTGGCAGAGAGGATTAGTAAAGACTACAATAATGGCCTAGTAGTGATTTAAACTTCAACGCATTTGTGATGGAAACACTGACAGGCCAAGTGATTTACAAAGCCTCTAACATGAGTGGGTTTTATTTAAACTCGCATATTCTCAGGGCTGTCACACAAAGAATCGGATACAATAACACCATGAATCAGTCAGTGAAATCCGACGCGAGCCTTTTTGCATTTCCGAAATCAGATGTGTCACTTCTTTTCGTACCGTTCTCCCTAAGGCCTTGTTTTTCTTTCCTCGCATAGAACAGACAAATGAGGATTTTTCTATCAGCAGGGACAGAGCAAAAAAAAAAAAATAGAATATTAAACCAAAACAAGAAGGACTCCGGAAACCGCAAAGGCAAAACCAGAGGTATTGTTCCGAGTAAATAGCGTCAAAATTGAACCCAAAGGAATGTGCCCCTTAAAAAAAAAAAGAGTAACAAAAGCAGATGGGGTCAAATATTTGGCCTTTTGTGAAAAGGGGGAGTCGGTTTCTGGTTGCCTCTGAATCACACAAGCCAGTACGTGAGCCGACCTGCTGTGAATGAAGCAATAACAGTCGTTTCATGCCCAAACCAACCCGATGCCCTCGACCCCAGACAGTGGACGGAGACAGGAAGGGAGTCGACTGTGCATAGGAAGGACTTCCACTCATTTCCCGTTTGAGTGGAAACTCTGTTGTACACAAGTTCAGCAGTTTTATTCATTCTCTTCCCTGTCATCCAGGAAGGTGTCACAACCCGCTTTGAACTGTTTCAATAAGCGATGACGGCTCAGCGTATCCATCGTGTCATCCGTTTTGTTTGGCCTCGACAAGCACTTATCAGCTGACTAATGAATAATCAATAGCAGAAAATGACAGAGGAGCCAAAAATGTGTCATCAGGTCTTCTGCATTTCATCGAGCAGTGAATAATCAATGCATTCCCTGATTAGTCACGGATGTACTGATGACAGGAAAACACATGACGTGACAGGAGGAGGGGAAAAAAAAAGCATTCAGATTTCCACTGATGACTTCTGAGGGGCCTTCGGCGATGGAAGACCGTTAACATTCTTATCATACCAGTTGTGCTAAAACAGGTAGAGCTCGGTGCTGGCTGCCTCCGTCAGGACGTACCTCCGTGCCGGGGCAGGCAGGTACTTGAATTACAGCTGTCAACTCATCCTCTTCCTAAACTGTTACCTCAACACATCCACCTCCCTGGAACAGAAACCGATACCTCTACTTACTTTCTGATTTAAAAAAAACAACAAAACAAAAAAAACGTGCACATCAGACTCAAAAGGTAAACTGAATACTATCTCTGACGCCTCGCCGGGATTGCAAAAGTCATAAAAGCACAGTTTGCAGGCATGAGACGGTGAAGCATGTGAGCTAGAACGTCACTTGACATACAGACAAGCAAAGGTTTACAGATAATCTAAAAGATAGTAATAGTGGAAAGTTGTTGTTTTTTTTTTATCGCATTTCACAGCTTTTAGACGGTTAAACAACATGTTTCAATTACTACCTTTAAGGCCAAATTAGTATATTTCAATGCTGAAAAGTACAACATACATTTGTGCGCTTGCTTGTAAGATTTAAAAAACAAAACAAAACTGATACCACTTTCAATTCTCTATGTTAAACAGGGCTTGGCCAGCATGGCTTTCTCAGGGGAAATACAGACACGAATGTTAGAAATTAAGGACAATAACAACAGATTTTTGGAACAGTAGAGCTAAACTGTAATTGTCGATTAATCGATTATTGTTCGGTCTATAAAATGTCCGAAAATGATAAGGATCATCAATCAGTGTTTCCCAAAGACTGAGATTATGCCCTCAAATGTCTTGTTTACTCACAACCCAAAAGTGTTCAGTTTACTGTCATAGAGGAGAAAAGAAACCAGTAATATTTAACTTTAAGAAGGTGGAATTAGTGCATTTCTTCTTAAAATTTACTCAAATCAATCAATCAATCATCAAAACAGTGGCCGATTAATTTGATTAATTTAATACTTGACAACTAATCAACTACCTGTTGCATTTCTAATACATTTTCAGTAAAAAGGAAAATCTTTGTGGCGAAATTTAAAACAACACGACCTCCAACGCAAACTGAAATGCCTTTTTTAATGTGTTTTACATACATTACAAGAGAATTTTTGCTTTCTAATGTTGATAAGTTAGAACTTGTGACATGTAGCCAATCAGACAGTGCTGGAGGCGGGACATGAGTGCAAAGGGCCAATAATTAACAAATCCTTAATGATAAATATGCTGGAGCTAACAGGCGATTAGCTTAGTTTAGCATAAAGACTAGAAACCCTGGGAAACGGCTGGCTTAGCTTTGCTTTAAAGAGAAATCCGCCAAAGCTCACTAATTAACAATTCATCACACTGGTTTAATCATTACAAAAAAACAATGACAAACTCAAATGTGAAGCTAAAGCCAGTTGTCAGGTTAGTTTGACATTGTGAGCAGCTAGTCCAAACAAAATGTCACCACCGGCACCTTGTGACATCTTGTTTGCTCAATCCGTAGAAAAACCGAAGTGTAAAAATAATAAAACCACAAAGTAAAGTAACGGCATTCTGCCGTTCAGACTTGGGTCACGTTTACGTCACAGCTTTATTGACACATACCGATGATAGGAATGGAAAGAGCCACCGTGTCAGTCGGATTGGACAGAACGTCAAGTGATGACGTATAATATCACAATAAACAAAAGAATACATTTCAACTAGCAGCTTATCGAACTGTCCAAATTGCTGGTTATTTCTGATTTCCTAAAAACTATAAATGATGCCCATGTGTGATGATAATTTATCTACGACTTTACCAACAGTAACGTATAAATATCCCAACAGCTGCGGTGGCGCTCAAGGCTAAACCTAAGGATGGCTGCCACAAATGATTTCACCGCAACTCTGTGTTACTTGCTGTTAGATCCTGATCGATCCTGTCTCTATGTTGGGGATAATTTACAATTCTAAGTAGTTAATGAAGTTACTGCTGTCGTGAAATGTCCGCAACTGAGATGCTAATATGGACCCTGCTGCTGTGTGATGCTTCAGATATTTAATAAACTCCTACAAACAGCTGGAAGCAACAAACTTCCTGTTAACATTTAGGCAAACCCGAATCATTTTCTGACCCTTTATGTCTTCTCTCAGTAAGTGATTTTTTTATGGATGTTTCAGTTTGTAACAGGTGTGAAATTGGAGGGCAAAAGGAAATGAGAAAAGTGCGTTTTGCGAGTTTGGCACGGAAACTATGTTTTGGACAGATGGCCTTACGTAACTCAAAGTACTTTTGCTTGCGTGTGCCAATCTGCTGAGGCCATGTTGGTGATGTGGAAATCATACGAGGCCTGTGACTTTTACAGAAAAGTGACCAGGGCGCTCATTGAGGTACATTTTGCATCTATCATCC